AAAAAAAAAAAAAAATATATATATATATATATATATATATATATAATTAAAAAAAATTAAAATAAAAAATTTTAAATTAAAAAAATATATTTTTTTCATCTTAATTAGGAGTAAAAATTTTCGACTCAACACAATGACACGACTCGAACTCGACACGAACTTGATTATAACTCGACTTAAACTTGAGAATGACCTAACATGCGAACAAGAAATATAAAAGACTCATAATTTTATGACTCAACGCAAATTTGATACAACACGACTCGATTGTTACCCCTAATATTAAACAAAAAAAAAAATTGATCATTTTTATTTTTCATCCATCCAACCAAATACAAATGAAGGAAAGTGCATCATTCCTACTTTTTCTATACTTGAAGGATAAAAAATGTATCTCTTTTATTTTTTATTTTTCCTACTGTTAGAGTATATATGGCTCTTTATTTGCTGTGTGCATAATGACAAAGAGGCAGATGCCGGAGTGGAGCCCGCGACGACATTTACTTTGCGGAATTTATATAAAGGGGACGCTGATTAGTTGGGGGTGCGGGGGCAACGCCCCCGCGGTACGGTATAGGGATATTTTTGTAAATACGTCCGTATTAGGGTTATATAAATATTTAAGATGTAATCCTATTTTGAATAATGAAAAAGAACGGCCGCTCGCTCTCGTGGATGTAGGCACATTACCGAACCACGTAAATTTCTGTGTGTTATTTTCTCCTGTTTTCTTAATTGTTTGATTCCTTACAACTCACCATAATTACTGCATGATCACAACACCTATCAAACGGAACAAAAGTTTAGCATAGTAGTAGTAACTAGTGAGATAATTTAGGCAAGATGATCTCATCAAGTTTGCAGATTGGAAGCCCAAGTCAGAGAATTAATGGGTATTAGATGTATACAAACATTTCCCATTAGTGCTATTTCATTACTGGAAATAGAGACGTGATAAATAAAAACCGTAGTAAAGAAATGCGAGAGATGAGCAGTACTATTATGTTATGAGTCATAAGGGGGGGGGGGGGGGGGG